TCCTGCAAAGGTTTTTCTATAGGCCCCTGTGGATCACATGTTCCTAGCTGAACCAGTCTCTGTGACCAAGGAGATGCAGAGTTCAGATTGGCCAGGCCTGGGTCACATGACACCACCACCCTGACCCCCTGCCAGGAGCTAAGGGTCAATCCTGTGCAATCTGCAAGGACTGTGAATGGGAACAACAGAGCTCAAATGGGGTGCTGTTACCAAAGGGAATTATGCTGGGTAGGCAAACACACACACACACACACACATGCGCGCCAGATGCGTCCAACAGGGAAAATCCCAGATACACCAAACTACTATTCCATTGTTTACTAAAGAATTAAATTTGTTTTAATCAACTTGATGCTCTATGGACCAGGTAAAAATAGTATGAATAGAATGCTTCTATATGATGTGTGACCAGATGACTTCTGAAGATACCAAGACCACTGAGCAAAATGCAAGCGCTACTCAAATAAAATGGAATTTCTTTTCATAAGCCACCAGTGAAAATGAGTCTCATGATTTCATGGAATAATGTATTGCTTGTCCAGAGCTAACCTGGAGCTTCATGAGGGTAAAGACGATGTCTGTATTGTTCTTCATTGTGTATAGTGCCTCATGCATTATAGGTGCTCAATAAATATTTGTTAAGTAATGAATGATTGAACTGATTTCAGAGCTGGAGTAGGATTATTTTCAACATCCATCGCTACCCAACACCTCCCTTATCTGATACCAGATGCCTGAAATGTCATAATTAGCCCCTGATTCCACTGGCTTCGGTCTTCTTCCCCAATCAAAATGCATGTCCTGAGAGAAGGAATAGTTTAAGTCTCCTTTGTCATCCCAGCTTGGGTTGAGTTGGTTTTTGAGATCCTCCCCAGATGGGGTTGAAAAAAAGAGCAAGGTATAGAAAAGTCTAGGGGCAGGAGACACACTTCTCTCACCTCCCAATATTGCTTGGGGTAACCCAGGTTCCCCCTCAGTCCAGTGAGGTCCCAACCCCAGTGATTATGGTTGCTGAGAAGACGTTTATTCCAGCTCTGCCCTCAAATCCCACAAATCTGTGGGAATTCCAGAGAGACTCCACTGTGGTCAAATGGGGCAGGAAACCGTGGTTCTTTGAGACCCCACGGAGGAGGAGGAGACGAGTATGTTTCATGCTTCTCAGTGAAAAGGGAGCCACCAGGGCAAAACCATCCCCCTCAACAACAGAAGCAAAAAGACTTCTTATTCCTTCTAATCCTGGCAAGTTGTGGGCTTCTCTGTGGGAGCTGCAACACCCTGGTCCTGGCATTGCCAGGGAGATGCCAGGAGGGGCACATGATGCAGAAGGAAGGGGTCGAAATGAGCAAGGGTCCCCCCTGGGTACTCCCGTAAGTAACGACTCTGGCCCTTCATGGTGTAGTTTTACATACAGATTTCAGGAAAGTACTTGAATTTAGGCAAACCTGTCACGTCAGTTATCACACTTCTCAACCGCCTCTTTTTTAAAAGAATGAGTGGACTGGATTGTACTGGAATGTACTGGAATTGTCTGGAATGTACCAGCATTCAGAACAAGACTCTAGGATGATTATATATGGCAGGTACTCAAAATAATAGGACTTCCAACACTGGTCACTCCTGTCGGACTATCTAAGGAAGCCGCAGGTGCGGCATGGTGCCGGGCACGTCCCCATCACAGCTGCCCCTGGCCCCTCAGGGGTGACAGTCACTCACTGACCACCTCTGGAAGCAGCTGGCATGAAAAAGCAAAGGGCCTGCTTTGCATTGCCTCTGATTCTGTATCTCCTGTCTTCCACCAAGCACAAAGAAAGTTTTAAGCCCTCTGTGTCCTTTGTGATTTCAAGATACTCATCCTTATTTTTTTTTCCTCATTATAAAAGCAGTACATCTTTATTTTAAACAACTTGTGGAGGAAAAGAAAAATAAGCAAAAAATTGTAATTCCTCTACTTAGAAATCACTGGTGTTAAGATTTTATGGATTTTTCTAGTTTTTAAATCTGTGTCTATATATGTATATATATATATATATACACACACATATATATATTTGTTTTGTTTTAATTCTTGGTTGTAACAAAATTAAGATCTTACGATATGTAATTGTCTATCTTTCTTCCTTGTCACACACTATCATGAACAATCACACTTTTTGCCCATGGAAACCGTGCACTTCTGTCCTCTTCTCCCCAGCCAGTTAACTTCCAGAGCAAGACCAAGTGTGTATGAAACAGAAGGAAAATAAGAGGCGCTGGTGGAAATGGTGTTCTGGCAGAAGGCAGTTCTTGTCACAATCTAGACCTTGGACTTCTATCCCCTCTAGGACTTCGTGCACTCTCAAAGCTTAAATCAAGTGAAAACTTGGGAGTGAAAACGCTCAGGCCGAGGCAGCTCCAAAGATTCATTTCTGATGATCCAGGGACTGCAAAATCCAGAGGAAGGCATGAGATAAACCTCAGAAAAAGAGTCACCGAGGGGAAACCACATCGAAACCCAGAGATGTGTTTAGTAAAAAGTAGCTGAAGCCACTATGGGATATTGGACTGGAGCCTGGAAAAAGACGCATGTGCGAGCAGATTCAAGTTTCTGTTTGGATCAGGACATGGCCTCCAGTGGTGAAGCAGATCTGGCAGTTGGTGCCTAACCTCACAGGCAGCAAACAAGGCTCGGCACCCAGTCAAGAGTCCAGTCCTGGGGGCCGAGTGAGCAGGAAGGTCCCTCTGAATGGCGGAGCCGTATGATTAAACTGTATTCTCATTTCCAAAGAGTAACCGCATCATGGCAGAACCAACGCTGCACCGCTGAGGTCTAGATTGGGTCCGAATTCAGTGGCACACAACCGTTAATCATAAAATAGGAACCTAAGTGATGTTTAAAGCCGTTCACAGTTTCAAGGCTGGCATCCTCCCAGCGTTATTCTAATCATCTCTTAATGGACCTTCTCTAATCTCCCCATCTTCCTCTCGTGCATCTGACCCCAAGTCAAAGGTATCTTTCTTCCGTCGGACTTCTAGCGTTACCGTCATTCTCAAAAAGCCTCGATGCCCCCAAATCCCTTAAGTAAAATTAAAACATGAAAGCACACGTTTCAAAGTTCTCCAAGAACCACCAGTCCCCTTCTTCCACGCCAGTTTCCACCTTACTTGCTCACCAGCCAAGCTAAGCTCATTGGCATGGAATTGCCTCAAGAGCCGGAGAAGTCGTCAAAGGACAAAAACGGTCACCTCCTTTGACCATGTCACCTCAGGAAACCACCTAGAAATCTAGACAAGGTCAGATGCGTCAGTCAAGTCACATTGACATGGATGAAATGTTGGACACCACTTAGGGTCCCTTACAGAAGAAGGAGATCATGCTGCATTGTCTCGCTGGAACCCTCTGAAGTCACGGCAGACAGCTTAAGGGATGAGAAAGCAAGCGTGGGAAATTCAACAATAACCTTGAGAGCGGACACCGGCAGAGGCAGGAGAGGCCTCCAGCCTTACCTCCCATGGCACCTGGCGAGGGGAAGGAATGAGCCCCAGGAGGGGGCTCCAGCTCAGGCAGGGCAGAGTGAGCCCCGCGAAGGCACCGTCTCAAGGAGAGGGCAAAGCGGATCGCTCAGGACTCTGCTGAGAGCTCCTCCCGCCCCGCGGTCACCCCTGAACCCACCGCACCCCGAACCTGTCCTCAAACTGCGAAGGAGTTCGAAGCTCTGAAACCTCGGCTCAGGAGGAGGAGGATAACCTCAGACAAGGAGAGGGTGTCGTTAAAAGTCTGACCGGCCATCAGAGCAAATAGAGGGCTTGGCCGGGCTGCCCTCCTCCGCCACGTCCTCGGGCAGGGCTCTGGAATCACTACGGGGCCAGATTCGGTTAGGAAAAAGGTTTTTTAGTTTTGCTCTCTGATTTGAGGGCTTTTCACTTGTGTCCCTCCGCCCCCGCCAAGGGCGTGAGCTCAGGCCCTGACCTTCAGTCACTGAGAGATACCCCAAGAGCCCGCTGGCCTCAGGAGGAAGGGAGAGGGGAAGAGCAGAGAAGCTGGGGGAAGCGGGGAGCTTCCAAAGGGTGAAGGGGCAAGAACACTGACCCCTCGGGAGAGCTGACAGCTACGGAGCAACGGCTGCCATGAACCCCGACTCAAAGGAAGCTTGGGGTCCTGAACCTGGCCCTCCGCAGCCCTGGGAAGAGGCGGGGCGCCGGGGGCGGGGCGCCGGGGGCGGGGCGAGTCGAGGCCCCGCCCTCCCGCAGCAGGGGGCGCCCCGGCCGGAAGTCCTCCAGGCCCCTGCCGCCGTCTGGGCGCCTCTCGCCTCCGCCCCACCTGCCGCCCCTTCCGAAGCCTTTCTAGCCCACCGCCCCGAGCGAGCTACCTGGCGTGTGGGGCCTGCGTTCCCTTTGCAAAGGGAGACCCGTAGTGCCTACGGGCGGGACGTGGCGAACATCCTGCGAGCTCCGTACCTGCAAGATCTTATAAGCAGCCCTGGGAAAGTTAGCTCCTAACCCTCCTCCGGGGTTTCTTCCGCGCCCGCTCCGCCCGCCTGCTTTCAGCAGCGGGCTGCCGTCCGAGGGCACGAACGGGAGGCTGAGCCAGGCGCGACGGTCCCCTCGCGCCCAGCGAGCACTGACGGCGGCGAGACGCTGCGCGGCCGGCACCCCGCGGGGCCCCGCACCCTCCCAGCCGCGGCCTCCGCGCCCGCCGCTACCGCCGTGTGCAGCGTAGACCCGGGCGCTGGGTGGTCTGGCTGAGGCGAGAGGGGTTCCGAGGCCCACCGCTGCGGGTGCACGGTCCAGGCGGTGGGAGAAAGGTCGCAGGTCGGGTCGGCGGGAAAGGCGACGAGAGGCGGGGCGAGGCTGAAGGGAGGCGCCGGGAACCGCTCTGCCGAGAGTGGCTCGTTGGTCTAGGGGTATGATTCTCGCTTCGGGTGCGAGAGGTCCCGGGTTCAAATCCCGGACGAGCCCAGGCTTTTCTTTCTTTCCCTCCGCACTTTACACTTTCATTCTTTTTTTCTTACTCACACGTATATGAAACAGAGTGCTCTGGTCCCTTGAGCTCGAATGTTGATTCCCCCAATTTTAAGAAGCAAGAAATCGAATGGGATCCATTCGTACCAAATGGCCACGGTGCGTCGGAGAGCAAGGGGGAGAACCGCTGTACCCTTACAGCACGCGCGCTGGGAAAGAGAGGCGCCTGGTGCAGAGTCCTGGTCCCCCCAACACCCCGCCGCACGTGGGCAGGGCGCCGAGCACTGGTCGGTCCGCGAGAAGGGGCGCGCCGTCCACCTGCCGACGCCCAGCACCCGGCCCGCGGCTGGACGGGCGCGGGGTGGGGCGTGGTTAAACCACACCTGCGGGCAACCGAGAACGGAACTCTGCGTCCCTTGCCCACGCGCGCGACTCGGGAACTGGCCGGGGTAGGGACAGCGTTTCCAAAGTGTTAAAATGTCTTCAAACTTCTACGTTTTCACGTTGTCTTTTCATGGTATCGGGTGTAATGTTAAAAAAAAAAACCAAAACCTCGATTTCGTGTTTTGCACCAACATATACTTATTGCGTGTATTGCTCTAAGATTCAGAAACTTTTTAATTCATCAAGGAAGTTTTTTAAAAAGTAGGGCTCGTCCGGGATTTGAACCCGGGACCTCTCGCACCCTAAGCGAGAATCATACCCCTAGACCAACGAGCCGATGTAGTCTCCCGCTGCCGGCTATACTAAAGGAAGGGAAAGATACTTTTTCTGGCGCCCCCAAGTGGTTATTTGCATATTGTGTCTCCAGCGTCCGTATGGTTTTGTGTTCTAGAGTTTTCTATTTTCCTTTTTAACTTTTTATCTTTGAGAATCCGACACAGAAGAAAACAAACGGTCTCGCTACCAGCGTAATATTTACCTCTTATTTCGAAAACCGTCAGTCTGTTTATATTCATCGCTAATAGATCGCAGTGTGTCTGTTGCAACGTCCCTGTGGCAAGAAAATCCTAGACACTTTCCCTTACCGTGTTCTGGACCTTGCGCTTTCTAATAATAGTAAAATTGTCGGTTTCAGGACTACCTTTTACCCTAGGGTTCAAAATGCCACCTTTCCAAGCCTTGTGAATTCCCATTGTGTTTTTACTCAAACTATTCTCTTCGGCTGGAAAATCTCTTTCCTTTCGGATAAATCCCAAACTCTGACCTTCCCGGGGAGATCCTGTAACATATTAAAATCAACTGTATGTGGCATAGAACTGGGGTGCAGTCTTGTCTCCTCTAATCATGATTTATTGGAGGACAAGATGCCAACACCAACACTGAAATCTGTATAACTGGCAACCAATTGTGTAATTCATTATAACCGGTGTCCGATCGTCCCGGTATCTTTTATGGCATGACTTGCTTACTATATTTTAAATTCTTAAATATTTAGTATTTAAACTTATGCCAACAAAGCTGGTGCTCAGTAATTGGCGAACTGGTTTCAAGTTCCTTAACAATACAGATCTTGGTAAACTGTCTCTCTAACAAATAACAAACCAGATCAGCAACAAGTGGAAGGGTGGCTCCCCTAAATAGACCTCTTCATTTGTTTTATTTCATATCAGTGCATTCATTCATCTGATTGCTCAACAAACAGTACAATACTATGTACCAGACACTGAATGGTCAACTTTCTTCCTATGGTTTTTGATTTTATTAAAGCCCCAGGACAGGACCCATGGGCAGGAAGAGCCGCCAAGAAGTTTCTATTTCTCATGAGAATGAGGAGCTAAAAATTATGACTTGTGAGATAAAAAACTGTCGCCACTTCGGATTTCTGAAAACCTCAGTTTCTACAGTTCCTAAGGTGTCTCTGTGTTCTCCTTTCCCGCTTGAATTTGCTATAGTTATTACTGTTTTCAGGGTTTTTTTTTTTTTTTTTTTTCTTACTCCTATTTAGCTCCAGGGATTGAAAAAGTTTGTCTATTACTCTTCAGGCTCCATCGGAGTATCTCACTTGCCTCTCCCAACGATGCAGGAAGACCGACAGTAACAAAACTTCAGAACATCGATTGCCTAACCCACAGTGATAAATATCTGTATCCTGGTGAAGGAACACCTGTGACCTGTGACCCTCTGCAAGGGACATTCTTCCCTTGTAGGTTTCTGTGAAGCAGAAGTGGGGTCCAGGGAGGCAGAGGATCTTAAGGAGCATTTTCTCCCCGTCACAGTGAATGAAGAAGCCTGGTGACATGTACTTCTACAGTCAACCTCTCTCTAAGGACCCCCAATATTCTTGTTACCCCAATTTGGTGCCCAGAAATATCATAGACACTAGAACTCTAATTTTCAATATTTTCTAGCAAAAAATGCAACCCTTCTGAATTAAGCCATCCTGGCAATAGAAATGTCAATGAAATTGATTCAGCCTCAGGCAAATCTTTTTCATGGTGGCCTGGGATTCATCTTTGACTCTGATATCTATTTGTGAATAATCCGATTCTCAGTGTTCCAGAAACCTCTTGCTATCGCGACCCACAGATCACAGTGTTCCAATGCCTCTAGAAACAGATCTTTTTTTTTTTTTTTTTA